GCACATGTGTGTGGTGATGGGTTGTATTTAGTATTTGGGTGGTGAACATGATGTGGTCTATGCAGAAATAGAAGTATAATGATGTACACCTGAATTTATACAATGTTATAAACCAATGTTACTGCAATAAACAAAAAAGTTAAATTTAAAAAATAAATAAATAAATAAGAAACAACTGAAAAAAATAAATAAATAAATGTAAACGGACTAAAATTACACATTGTCTCCACATGAAATTACTAAAAATGTGGCTCTTTTAGTTATTACTGTATTTTTCATGACATTCAAAATAAATAAAATTATCATGGCCTAGATTTACTTGATTTTTAAAAAATTTTTTTATAATGTAAAATTTCAAACATACATAAAAGTAAAAAGAATAGTATAATGACCTCCACATATCCTTATTTAAGTATAATGATCATTAACTCATGATTACCCTCATTTCATCTATTCTTTCAAACTAGTTTCCCCTACCTTGCACGGGATTATTTTTAAAGCAAATGCCAGATATCATTTTATCAGAAGTGAATAATCTGCACTCCTTAGAAATTAATAATCTACATTTGTGGAAAATTAGAAACATTCACGTTATAACCATATTACAGAAAAGGGGGAAGATATATTAGCAGCAGAAAATAGTAACTAAATCTAAGACAATTTTAAAAAGTAATGCTATAAATTTATTAAAATTCCTAAAGAAATCTTAGAAATATGAACAAATTTCTTTTCAATACAGCTTTCATTCCAATCTCTTGTTTTTACCTGTCTCTCCTCTCAGGATTCCATCCTGTTTTTGACCTAGTTAGCGAGCTTTTGTCTGAAGATTCACTTTTTCTTGTCAAAGACTCATGATTATTCAAAATTTGCTCCAATAGTCTTACATTTCCTACAATAGAAGAAATATAGTATCATTTTTCAAGTACTAATTTATTTTTTATATAATATCTCATATATTTGTACTAAATTAGCTTCTTATGATGATTGTCTACTCAATTCACTCTACAATGGCTATAACTACACTCATCAAATAAAACTAAATATTTATAACTCATGAAAACTATAATGGTAAAAGTTTAGGCCTGAATATATTTCCATCACAGAAAAAAGGAATTTGAATGAGAAGTATCATGAAGCCCATCATCATGAAGCCCAGTAAACTGGACTATTTCTATACATAATAAAAGAGAGATTTAACTGTTTCTTCACAGTAACTATTGGTTGAATCTTCCTTTTTGCCTCATCTTTAATATTAAAGACTACACACTAATTTTTTTTTTTTTGGTGAGGTTAGTTTCTTTATTAAAGATTTTATTATCTTTTAAATTCCTTAAAACTCTTTAAATGCATCCAAGGCAAGACTTGAATGCATTTAAATGATTCCAAGAATAAAAACTTATATTTAATATTTTCACTTACTTTTACCAGAGGCGCCATATTTTAAAGGTCTGTAACAAACTATTATTTCAGGTCACTTATAAAAGTTCTTGAACTATTGAACAATTCATATAACAGCACTTTTTTCAACTGAACCCAGGAGTAAATGTTAAATTTCTCTGAATTTTGTTACTGAAATTCACACCTAAAAACAATATAAAGAAACATTCTCTAAAACGATCAGCCTTGGGGCCGGCCCAGTGGCGCAAGTGGTTAAGTGCCCACGCTCCGATGCTTTGGCTCGGGGTTCGCCGGTTCGGATCCCGGGCGCGCACTGACGCACCGCTTGGCAAGCCATGCTGTGGCGGCGTCCCATATAAAGTGGAGGAAGATGGGCATGGATGTTAGCCCAGGGCCAGTCTTCCTCCGCAAACAAAAAAAAAAAAAAAAAAAAAAAAAGAGGAGGATTGGCAGATGTTAGCTCAGGGCCAATCTTCCTCAAAAAAATAAAATGAAATAAAATGATCAGCCTTACCTTCAGCAAAGCATTATTTATTTATTAATAACAAAACTTGTCCATGAAAGTTTTAAGTAATAACCTGTAGAAGATAGTCAGAATAATTATAAATGTATACCTCCAACTCCTTCTTACAAAGAATTTAAAGAAGGTTGATTCGCCTAGTAATTATCATTTAAAGAAAAATATTAAAAATAGAAATCCCGGGGCTGGCCCAGTGGTGTGGTGGTTATATTTGCACGCTCTGCTTCAGCGGCCAAGTGTTTATGGGTTCGGATCCCGGGCACGGACCTATGCACCGCTCATCAGGCCATGCTGTGGAGGCATCCCACATACAAAATGGAGTATGATGGGCACAGATGTGAGCTCATGGCCAATCTTCCTCACCAAAAAAAAAACAGAGATAACCCTTTACTTACAGTAGTAACTCTAGTGCCTAGTAAAGCACATTAGAGAATTATAAATCATGACTACAGAACATTATAAATCATGTTCCTAATTTGAGCTAGGGCTAATAAAAGTAGTGAGTGCTAATTATCATTGCTTTACTACCTGTATGACCTGACATCTCGATATTTTCTTTTTCTTCCAAACGACTTTCCCTCTTTGATATTTTATCGTCCTTTGAAACAGGTATAGGAGCAAACCTGCGAGGTGCTGGTGTCTCCAAAGGAGATTTCTGTTTATCAAAACTCTTATTTTCAACCTCTCTTGAAGGTGCTTTAATAGAAAATAAAGAAAATAATAAATTTAACTTACTTTTAAAACAATTCTAAATTGCAGAACGCTACCCTTCCTATTTTAAAAATAAAACAAGAATTATATGGGATACACAAATTATTACCATATATATAGAAATAATTTCATCCTCACTAGAAATCAAAAGAAATACAGACTATAAACATTCTACACTTATAGATAACAAATAAATAAGAAAAAAAATACGACAATATTCAGTGCTACTTAAGCTGTGGTGAAAATGGCATAGCCAGACACTGCTCATGGCCATGGAAACTGACAAGACCAGCTGGCACTAAGCACAGTAAGTCTTAAAATTTTTATATACTTTGATCTAGTAACCTTCTCTTGGAAATTTATCCTCAGGAAATAACCTAAAAGAAATAAAATATTAAATATATGATGATTGTCATTACAGTATTATTTATAAAGAAAAAACCCCCTAAAAACTGCCGAAATGTCCAACAACAGGATAACTGTCAAGTAAATTGTGAAGCAGTTATTCAATAGACTATCCTTTAGTCATTAAAAATTAAATTATGAAATAACTATGTAAAACATGGGAAATACTTTTGATATGCTAGTGAAAAAGCAGTACAAAATTCTATTTATGCTACAATTACAAGTATATAAAAATGATATATGCCCAAGAAAAAGCATAGAAAAATTAAGTGTAATGTGTTGAATTTTTAATTTACTTGTTTTTTTCTTTTATTTCTGTTAGTAACTAAAATACACAAAGAAAAAAATTCAGTATACAACCAATGAAACAGACATCTTTTTCCTTTAAAACTTAAGTCTAAAAAACCAAAATTATGAGCAAGTAATTCTCCAGAATTGAGTATAAAAACAAGTGTCTACTTCTACAGAAAGTACATGGCTGGGTCATACTGATTTGCTCAGTATCATCTAAAGAAAAATATTAAAAATGGAGTTTCCACTTTAGTACTACAAGGCACATTAAAGAATTATAAATCGTGAGTGCAGACACCTGAGTTCTGGCCGTAGCTCTGACACTCACTCTCAAGCCAGGTGACCTCGAGCAGGCAAGTCATAACCTTTCTGTGCTTCATCTTCCTCCCTTCACAACTTAAAAATGGACTCACATTACTTCATACCAGTTTTGTAAGGAACACTCGTTTGTTGCAAAATGTAAAGCACCTTACAAGTATAAGGGATCTTTAATACATCTGTAACATAGCATGTTCTAACAAATCAGATGTTGGAGATGTTGTACATCATTAAAGGGATAGCCCCTTGATTTTCATTAGTTCATTGTTCAAATATGAATAATTTGGAGACACATTTATTCATTTACCTTAAATTCCAAAGATTTAATACAAATAAGCTACATATTCCTTTATTATAAACAAAGATTTTAAAAATTCTATTAGGATAGACTTGCATTACAGAATTGCATTGCAATTCTGAAAATATTTAGAAATAGTTTATAATTATATTCAGGTGGTTTCTCTCTTGACAGAATCAAGAAAAACAGTAAATATGCAGTTTGTCAGAGAACTGGAGAATTGATTACAAGCATTTTTGATACTAGATAAGTAAAATTTTTCTAAATTTATAAGTGCTTCTGACAATTTATGAAAGTTATTAATTAAAACCATAAAGTAAGACATGATCCATAACTTGACTGAATAAGTTTCAAAATGACCTAAAAATTACTTGACCTAAAAAAGAACTAATTTTGTAAAACAAAGACTTAGTTTCTTACAACCTAGTAAATAAGCTTTCAGCTTATATACCACAAAGAATACTCATAGATGACATTTGTTATTCATAGAGAACTACATATTTTTACCTTGTTTGGAAGCAAATGTATTATATGAAGATAGATTACTGCTACCAAGATTCAAATGTTCTGGTTTTACAGAATATTTTTCCACTGCTCTAGGAGGAGGCGTAGTAACAGGCTGAAAATTACCAGTCTTGAGCGCAGCACTAATGAAATGAGTCTAGAAAACGTAAAATTATTTTATTAATTTCAAACATCATTTAAAGAGTTAGATGACAAAATATATTGAAATTTATTAGAGGACGTGAGAATAATTTATTGGATTTAATAAACAATGAAAATACATAGATTACATGCAACTATCCACTGTAGCAAAGATGCCACTGGAAGGATATAGTATCACAAAGACCTGGGTTAAGCCTGGCTCTGTGGTGTGACCTTGATCATTTTATTTAACCATTCTAAACCTCAGTTTCTTCCTTTCTACCTCGGAGATGGCTCAGGGACCACTGAAGTGAGGAGAGGACCAGGAAGAAGGGGCCTTAGCCCTACACCTCTACTTCAACCAGAGAATTTAAAACCAAAACATCTCATCTTTTATATACTAGATGGTAAGATTTCATTTGAAAGTTTAAAAACCATTGATAGTAAGCACTCAAATAAATAGCAGCCATGTTTAGTAGCAGCAATAATATATCCATTTACACAACACAGTTTTTAGCACTATTTATTAAAATATCTGTTGTGTATAAGTATCTCACCTAATAAAACTGATTTCAAAAGAGAGTTTTATGCCAGGAAAAGAAAAATCTGAAAAGATTTATAGTTTTACAGAATTCCTAAAAGTGTGTCAAGATCCCTCTACATGAAACAGATGAGACAGACTCAACGGGTTTCATTTCATTAAGTACTTACTGAACTACTAATATACCTCATAGGTTATTGAAACTTAATGTTCTCTGTAATCATAAGTTTTTTAAATAAGATGTCTGAATTAGCAAAGATTCCATTCTTCCAAAACCAGAAAGTTAATAAATTATGGGTTTATTAATGGAAAGATGGATGAATGGCAAACTGGCACTTAGGACTAAGTAGGACCATCTCTTTAAGAAATCAATGTGCTTCTCAAATGTGTCATTTTATTCTGAACAAAAAAATATTTTCTAGGTAAAGAAATCAAGGCTCAGAGTAAAGGTATTTGTAGACTGGGGCCCAGCACTCTGATAGACTCTCACTAGACAACATGCTGCACACTCAATTTACTCATGTATGTACTTACTAAAACTTGACTTTGGATGCCCAAAATCATTCCAATAAAAGTATTATCTTCAACCACATGAAAAGTTCAAGACAAGCTCTATTAAGAAGTCTTGAAAATTATAGGACATTAGTGTTCAGTTTGATCATATATTGAGCTGTAATACTTATTTTTGCATATTCTTCTGAATGTTACATTTTAATCTAATTTGTAAAAGTTTTTAAATTGCATATTAATTAAGAAAAAAAATTAGGGGCCGGCCCGGTGGCGCAAGCGGTTAAGTGTGTGCACTCCACTGCAGTGGCCCGGGGTTCGCCGGTTCGGATCCCGGGCGCGCACCAACACACCGTTTGTCAGGCCATGCTGTGGCAGCGTCCCATATAAAGTGGAGGAAGATAGGCATGGATGTTAGCCCAGGGCCAGTCTTCCTCAGCAAAAAAAAGGAGGATTGGCAGATGTTAGCACAGGGCTGATCTCCTCATAAAAAAAAAAAAAAA